TTTACCTGGACATCACCCTGGGCCTCATGCAGGCAGTGCAGCGCGAGTTCCAGATTAGTCCCCCCTCCTGGCATCACGCTGGAGCAAGCCACGTTGCAGAGCTCTCTCACTGTGCCCATGACCAAAGGGTAAGTGAGCAAGCCGCACCGGCGAGGTGGGAGGTAGTGGAGACGCAAAGGAGTCAGCAAGTGAGAGCAGGGAAGGAAGCCCTCCCAGACAGCACAGAGAAAACCTGTCAACCAGTGGGCTCCCACTAACTAGGAACTCCACGTGGGGCAGAGTAGAACTGTATTGCACGGGGTTTTCAAGGGCTGGTTTTTAACACTGGTTTTCTGCACCACCCTGGTGCCCTGGTAGCACAGCGGTTAAGCACTCGGCTGTTAACTGGAAGGTAGACAGTTCAAACGCATCAGCCACTCTGCATACAAAGACGTGACAGTGAGCTTCTGTAAATTGACTTTTGGAAACCCTGTGGGGCAGTTCCACTCTGTATGCTATGAGTCAGAACCCACTTGATGGCGGTGGGTTTGGCATTGCTATTGTGGAGCTCTGTTGGCGTAGTGCCTAAGGCATTTGACTGCTAACCAGCAGACTGGCCAGTTCAAACCCACCAGCCACTCCTGGGAAGACTAGGTAATCTACTTCCCTAGAGATACCGCCTTGGAAACCTAAGGACAGTCACTATGAGTCGGAATCTACTCTAAGGCAGTGAGTTTGGTTTTTTTAATTGAGTCTACACAATACAGTATATTTCATGATTCAGATTTTTAATGGTTTCATATATAGCCTGAAAGTGTGACTCTTTAAACAAGTGGATTAAACCCTCTTGCACTTACTACTTCTGCCCTGTGTATCTGCTCCCCCTGGTTTCATAGTTACTGTTTGTTCTCTGACATGGTTTCCTCCATTTGTGCAGGTTTGATGAAGCATGTTTGTACTTCTTTCCCATATGTGTATTTCCTTTCCATAAAAAACAAAACCCAGGTGTCATCCAGTCAACCCTGATGCATGGTGACCCCATGTGCATGGGAGCAGAACTCTGCTCCACAGGGCTTTCTAGGGCTGATTTTTTGGAAGCAAATGGCCAGGCCTTTATTTTGAGGTCCTTCTGGGTAGACTCCAACCTCCAACCTTTCAGTTAGCAGCCGAGTGCGTTAACCGTTTGGACCACCAGGAACTGGGGCCCGCTTTTCATCTGCTTGTTCTCACATCACCAGCGAGATAGGCTGAGCAAAGGGAGGACAAAGAGGGAGGTGCTCCTGCCACCTGCTCTGGATGCTGTCAGATACCATGGGAGAGGAGAGGAGAGGCAGGGGCAGGGAAGGGCATGTGAGAAGCGGCCACAGGAGCCCTGCTTCTTGGTCAAGGCGAGAACTGGAAGGAGGAAATCCCTAGAGGTGGGACTCTGACCCCCGAGCCTCAGACACCTCGGTTCTGCGTTTCTGGGTTGGTCATCACATCTCCCCACGGCTTCCAGACCAGAGTGGCCATGTGTTCCTCCATGTCAGCCAGGCACCTCTCCTGCAGCTCCGGAATCGAAGCCTGAAACTGGTTCCCGATGTTGATGTGTCTGAAATGCAGCCACACAGAGACATGAAGGAGACACCAAGGCAACTCAGACTGGGGACTGGATGAGCTGTGTCCTCAAAGAAGGCACTGGTCTCCAGGACAAACAGCCCACACGAACCATGGCCTCATCTGCCCTGAGACCAGAAGAACTAAATGGTGCCCAGCTGCCGCTACCCAGGGTATCTGATCAAGGCCCTGACAGTTGGACCCTGAATGAATGGGAGAAAAATGTGGAACAGAACTTCAAATTCCAAGATGATAGATAGATAGATAGATAAATCCCACAAAGAAACCAGATTTA